AGAGAGAGAGAGAGAGAGAGAGAGAGAGAGAGAGAGAGAGAGAGAGAGAGAGAGAGAGAGAGAGAGAGAGAGAGAGAGAGAGAGGGAGAGGGATTTTGGAATAATATCTTCTTCGAGTTTCGGCCAATATCTCCTTTGTTGCTTTGCTGTTTGCGCGCTGTGTGAATTTGAGCCTTGCATGTTTGTGATTTGGGACCACTGTAATAAACATGATCAGGAGTAGATGATAACGTAAGACAACACTATTTAAACATTAACGTTAGCAACAAAGATGTTAAGAACTTAAGATGATAATGTGTTCATCATCATGATTCATTTGTAGTATTTAATTAGAAGGTTACAACCCATGATTAGGAAGCTTAGGGATTTACCACAAGGATGATGACATGATGAAAAAAAAAAAAAAGCAGTATAAAGATCGAATCGCCACCCAGCAATCACCTGAGAAGAAGAATCGAAAAAATCGAAAAACACCCGGCGGAATATTACACCTGCTTGAGGTTGAAGAAATTTGGGCTGGTCTTGGTAGAGTGCATATGCTATGCCATTGTGAAAATGCGTCATGTGGAACCTTGATAATGTGTCGGGGTGCCCGTTGCTCTCCAGTATGCTCACTTCACCAACCAGCTGCCCATAATCCCACCTCTCCCCTCATCCTCCACCCCATGTGATGTCCCCCTGCTCCCTCAGGATCCTATCTCACTCGCCACATGGCACTAAGGGTCGTCACAGGTGGCATACAGATCAGCTATCTGATAGATAGCCGCAGGGAAACCAGCATCGGGATCATCACCTCTGTTCCCATTTGCAGTAGTATCTCCCCTCCCTCATTTTGCTGCCCTGCAACAGGGTGGGTCATAGCCTAGAGTGTCTCCCATCTACCCTACCTGTCGATGGCCTTGTGGGGAAGCAGCAACCGCCTAATAGCAGGCGACCAACTCGTATAGTACCCCATCTCCTCGAACAGAACCCCGCACACCCTCCACACCACATGCTAATATGTTTGCAGCTCACACATCAGCCCCTTGCTTGTGTTCGGTGGCTGCGCTCCTCTGTCTACAGCCGTCATTCAAGCCCACACCACATCTGTCCACAAAAATGACCAGATGGATGCCACCAGATCGAGTGCTCTCCCCCACCCCATCAGCTCATCACTAGGAGATGCGAGTGCCAACAACCACCCAGCAGTATCCACCATCTTCATGTCATCCGAGGGCGTGCAGAAGTGGAGCTCGCCGTCATCGGTGAAGCATTCACGCAAGGAGCTGCCTGCCAGTGTGAACGGGCCAGCAGCGCACACTGCTGCCCACCAGTGTGTTCGGGCCTTCAGCTGGTGGTGCACACGACCCGGTCCGGGCCTAAATAAGTCAGGTCGCGGAGGGGGCCATGCTGGTCTTCTCTGTATCGTATGTTCCCGACGACTTTTGTGGTGACTTTTTCCCTTTTTGGGTCGCGTCAGATTCATGAAAGGAACTACCTTTAACAATTTCAACCTTCCAAAGGGGGCCATGCTGGTCTTCTCTGTATCGTATGTATCCGCGGTCCATTGGGGCACATGTATAAAAAAAGAACAACAAAAAGAAAACAAACAAGCGCACCAAAAAAATAGAAGCCAACTCTGTTTGTGAACATTGTGGGAACCATCATGACTGCTCTCTACTGCGCTGCGCTAATATATATATACACAAACAGAACTGCCCGGTAAACCGTAGGCAGAGAGAGAGAAGAGGACAACAATATATATATATATATATATATATATATATATATATATATAT